TAACCTCTGCAGTAGTTAGCAATATGAAGCTGAGATAAATCCCTTGAATAATGGAGGTCTGAGAACACTCATCTTACTCCACTGAACTGCACATGCTAACACCATCAAATTAAATTAGAGATTCCATTACCACCTAGAATACTGGTTCCCAATGTGTGTTCCCTGAACCACTAGCTTCTGATCCCCTATGAACTTGTTAGAAATGCAAATTCTTTTTTTTATTATTGTACTGGAGTACACGTGCAGAACATGCAGGTTTATTACGTAGGTATACATGTGCCGTGGTGTTGACTGTATCCCTGACCACATCATCTACATTAGGTATTTCTCCTAATGCTATCTCTCCCCTAGCCCTCCACTACCACCCCCGACAGTCCTTGGTGTGTAATGTTCCCCTCCCCTCCCTGTGTCCATGTGTTCTCATTGTTCAACTCTCACTTATGAGTGAGAACATGCAGTGTTTGGTTTTCTGTTCTTGTGTTAGTTTGCTGAGAATGATGGTTTCCAAATTCATCCACGTCCCTGCAAAGGACTTGAACTCATTCTTTTTTATGACTACACAGTATTCCATTGTATGTATGTGCCACATTCTGTTTATCCAGTCCATCATTGATGGGCATTTGGGTTGGTTTCAAGTCTTTACTATTGTGAACAGTGCTGCAATAAACATACATGTGCATGTGCCTTTATAATAGAATGATTTATAATTCTTTGGATATATACCCAGTAATGGAATTGCTGGTTCAAATGGTTTTTCTAGTTCTAGATACTTGAGGAATTGCCACACTGTCTTCCATAATAGTTGATCTAATTTACTTTCCCACCAATAGTGTAAAAGTGTTCCTATTTCTCCACACCCTCTCCAGCATCTGTTTTCTCCAGACTTTTTAATGATTGCCATTTTAACTGGTGTGAGATGGTATCTCAATGTGATTTTAATTTAGAAATGCAAATTCTTAGGCTCCACCTCCGGTTCATGAAATCAAGGACTCTGGGGATAAGGCCAAGCAATTTGTGTTCCAACAAATCTTCAGATGATCAAGAATCAAGTCTATGTTTAAGAACATTCATCTAGAATCGGTTGAAATACCACACATCCCTTCAGGAAGCATCCCTTGGGGAAACTCTGCCTTGAAGGAATTAATAGAATAAACTTCTCAAGGACTTAGAAGTGATGCCTCAGGAAGGCAGGCAGCCCACAGAAGCCCAGGCAAAAGAGACCATCATATTCCACTTACATTATTAGTATGGCAGAAATACCCTAGGGATGAAAATACTTTCTTCAAAAAGAAAAGAACTGAAAGAAAACTCTTGGTCAGTCTCACATTTGTGGTATGTTTTTAAAGAGAGTGTCAATGTAGGAGTCTGACAATGAATTGAAACTCTGGCCCTAGTCCTCACCGGCCTCGTGGCTCACTGAAGGAGGGTAACTGACCAACACTTCCTCTGTAAAATGGAGACGTAAATTTGTGCTCGTGGGACTGAGGTGAGATGTTTTGACATAATGTATGTAAAGGGAAGCCTAGCACAAGAGCATTTGTTTATTTATGTAATAGGATGGCAGGATTATTAACCAAGGAATCATTTTGGTTACATTTTTCATTTATCTTTCCCACCCTCCTCCCCCTGCCATTTCTACCAGGGGCCAGGTTTGGGGCTCTCTTGATTCTGGGTTGGTTTGTGACAGAGCAAAAAGCAAAAGCTGAGAAGACAGTTGCTCTTCGTGTCTTTTGTAAAAGCTTGAACCTATTGTGAAGAGACAGAAATGGCTTTGAGAAGAGTAAGGGGAAGAGTTCCCACACACTTCAAGGAGGTCAAAGCCTGGGGGCTGCTGTGAGGAGCAGGATCTCTGAACTATTCCACAATAGTGTTAGCAAAAGGTCAAGACCCAAGTTGATCAGGAAAGGAGGGCTTGGTGTGGCTTATATGACCAGACTGCAAACACAGGGTCTCATAGGCTTAGCAGAGATTCCTGGCATAGAAGTAAAGCAACCAAACCTCTTGACCAGCAGTGAACATCCAGACTCTATTTTCTTATAAAATTCTTTGCAGACAAAAATGGCTCATTGAGCTAGGTTCTTGTATTAGGCCCTTCTCATACTGCTATGAAGAAATATCCAAAACTGGGTAATTTATAAAGAAAAGAGGTTTAATTGGCTCATAGTTTCACACAGCTGGGAGGCTTTGGGAAACGTACAATCATGGCAGAAAGCACAAGGTGGTAGGAGAGAGAATGAGTACTGAACAAAGGGAGAAGCCGAGCCCCTTATAAAACCACCAGATCTCATGAGAGCTCATTCACTATCATGAGAACAGGACGGGGGAAACCGCCACCATGATTGAATTATCTCCACTTGGTTCTGCCATTGACACGTGGGGATTTATTACAGTTCCAGGTGAGATTTGGGTGGGGACACAGAGCCAAACCATATCAGTTCTTTTATGAAATATGAATGTGACTGCAAAGGCTACTAAGAAATTAGCAGGTCCTTCTACATGTGAGGCCCAAACTAATTAGGCTGAGGTAAGGAACCTGCTAAACTGTGACAACATCAGAAGTGATGGTAACTACTCTGAGCACCTGAGTGATAAATTGTAGCATCCATATTACTGTGAAATAGAAGCAGGTAGAAATATCCCAGCAGATAAAGGAAACAAAATGTGATATCAATGGCATGATGACCCACGACCTAAACAATGGAAAGCTCTAGAAAAAAAGGCTATTTGAACACATTGGCCATTTTAAGTCCTCTCCTCAGGAATTGCCAAGCTACTTCAAATCTAAAGTTACAATTCAGGAAACTACGGTTTGGTACTGGAGAAATATAATTAAGAAATTGGCCAACTTGATGTAATTTGCTGCTATCAAATCCACCTTTGGAAATACGTTGCCTGAGGCAATTCTCTTCTGACACTGCATTTACACTCATTTTGAAATTCTTGGTGGTAACTGGAAGAACGCCTATCAATTGAGTCAACTATCCTTTCCTTTCTTAATCTCTGGGGCAAAGCAAAACATCCTCTGTGTATGAGAGGAACAACCTCTACCCTTCCATAAAAGAGAAATTAATTATCCAACCCCATAAACCTGTGAAGGTTTTTCCTCTGAGGGTTTGACAGCCCCACCTCCAATCCAACAGGTCAAGGCATAGAACAGAGTAAGATTACTATGAGTAATATTTATGGTATCCTAGAGCTTTGCTAGCTATCATTCAAGCGTCAGTGAAAGTGGTACAAACAAGGAGAAAAGTATGAAAACATACAAAAGAAGCACCACAGGTTGTTGGTTGAAAGGATGGGACTCCAGGAGCCAATTGCCTGCATGATTTCAAACCCCAGTCCAAACTTCCTAGCTGTGCAACCCTCGACATGTTGCTCAGATCTCTGTGCATTCATTTTCTTATCAGTAAAAACCATAGTACGCTGCCTGCCTCACAGAGATAGTGAGGATAAAGTGAATTAATAATTGTAAAGTGCCAGAACATACTTGCCCCTAGTAAATTTTATATATGTGTTTGTGTGTGTGTGTGTGTGTGTGTGTGTGTGTGTGTGTGTATAATTAATAGCTAAATAAATAAAAGAATAATCAAGTGAAGGAATAGTAAATATGTATTAGAAACTATATTGGGTAGAGGTGGGTTAGGATGTCTTCAGATCTTTATTTTATTTCATTACAACTGAGGTATTTAGTTTACAAGAAAACTGGATGAACTGTTCAGTAAATGACATATTAATATCAGGTCTAAAAGTTTATATAAAGTTGTAATATTTTGTCCAAAGAATTTGTGTGGGTGAGATGTCTCTATATAAGACCTAAGTCTCAGGTGGCTGTGGTTTATTCATTTGTTTCTACTCCTGGTATTTTCAAAGTCTGCCATTGAACTAGCTTTCACATGTCTTGTTGGAAAACTCTAAGCCAAGTTTATTCCAGATTTATTCATTTGCCACAAATTTTTACATAACAATATCCATGACTTTTGGAAGGCGAGAGGAATATAAAACACAATACTCAGTCTCCAGAAGCCAAATTCAGAAGACATACAAACCCATATAAAGTAGCTGAAAACGATTTTGAAGAATCAAATTTAAATAGCACTTATGATATTGTTACATGTCAGTACTTTCACATTTCTTATCATTTTCTATCTCGTTTGTTAAAATCCCCATTTTATAGAAAAGGCAAGAAAGACTCAGAGAGATAAATGACTTGTTCCAGCTCCAGAGCTGATATATTGTTGAAATCTGTTTTGGACCCAAGTTTATCCGACCTCAATCCAGGGTTTTTTCCATTCTACCTAAGCTGCCATGATGACAATCAAATCTAAAGACAAGATGTGACTTAGTAGTACAAAGGAAAGGAAATTAAAGTGAATGAAAACAAGCAGAAAAATATTATGGGGAAGAGGCTGAACAGTGGTTAGGATTTGAGGAGGTATTTGAAAAGGAAGAGAAAGGACCACAGTAGAAACTTGAGAATTAGTACAATCAAGAAGAATGCCAAGACAGGCCAGACTACACAGCAATAAGACTTGGGTATCCTGATAAAGATGATTCCAGAATTAAGATGGAGAAAGAAACTCAAGCAGCAGAGTTTTCACGACGTTGGGAAATTTAGAGCCATTACAGGCTTTTGAGCCCAGTAGTGGGTGTTACAAACATTTTTTTAGAAGCAGAATAAGAGAGGGGAAAGGCAGACAGAACTTCTGGAAGACTGCTGCATTAATTCAGATGATGCATGACAAGTATCTGGGGCTGTCTGATTATTATGGAATAGAAAAAACAACATCACAGCACTAACTCTAAAGGAAAAGTTTTCAGAACATAATAATCTGAAGCATAAAGGAGAGCAACAAGTTAAAAATGCCTTCAGGGCTTTGAATGTGGGGAACTTAGACAATGGTGATACCACTGATAATTGTAAGTGCTGAGCCAGGAAGGAAGACGGGCATCTAGATCTGGGACAGACCCTGGCAAAACCTTTGCGTTGGAAGGAAATAAACACTACAATGGGGAAACCAAATGGAGAAACCAAATAAGTTTAATTCCAAGTTTATTGAGCTCCATGTGAAACTAGGACATAGTAACAACGTGCTGTAGAGAGTTAGCTGTACAATAGAATTCAACCTTTGGGCAGAAATGAAAATAGCAAGGTGAGAGTTACCAACTTAGACAAAAGGGTAGAAAGTGAGCTATTTGACTAAGTAGCTTAAATGGCCACTGAGATGTTCTACCTGATCACAAGTTTTCAAGAGAAGTTTCATTTTGTTCATCTCTTGTTCCGTTTTAGTTAACATAACAAAATGTTCAGTATCTGCCTTCTGAGGAGCAGGCAGGCTGTGAGGAGCATTCTCATTATCTATGCTGTTGCTTTCCATTTTTGAAAAGGAATAGCCACTATTTGTTGAAACCCCTGAAAAAGGAACACATGAGAGAATTAAAATGTGCTACGTGATTTGAAATGCTAAAAATGGCACTTCAGCATTGGCTGTATGAGAGTTTTAATATTCCTGCCAGCTGAGATACAGGCAATTTTATATTTAATTACTAAAATAGATGTAATTTAGGAATTTTGTTGCACACCTAAAGTCAGAAAATAAAGTGCTCTCTTAATAATAAAATGCCTTGATCTAAATCAGACAGATTATAGCACTGCATTCAGCATTGGAAGGGAGCATCAAAGTGATCTAGCCCAATATCTTAGAGTTGGAACCCCTTGGATATACCAGGAGGTGTCCACTAAGCCACTGCTGGATGGCAGCTGGGCTACACAATTACTTGTACATAAATTTGTCAACTGTCCTCAAACATCACCCAAGAACCTTATTCTTATTCAGTCTGCAAAGTGACCTGATTTGGTACGTTAGATTGTCATGGACAGCAGCTGTGTCCAATTCTAACATTAACCTAACTTAGGACAAAAACGGAAATCTTGGAAAGTTCTATTGCACTGGGAAAGCTTACTATAGAAAACACAAATCTGGTCTCCCAAGTCCACAAGAGAATCATCAGAGGTAGTGAGAGCAACTGAACTACAGGGAATTACGTTCTTCCTTCCCTAACATCTGGTATGGATTTATAATGATGAAAAAAAAAAAAAAGAGAGAGAGAGCGAGAGAGAGAGAGAGAGAGAGGGGAATCATTTAAATTAGGCATGTGGATTTGTGCCTTGACCTTGTTAAGTGAAAAGTAGGTGTTACTACTATGAATTTCTATGAAACTGGTAGTAAATGTGTAAGAGTCAAGACCCCCTACAGAATATGAAGAAGTCATGTGTTGAAAGGGTAGAAACACCAAATGCTAGTACATTTCTACAAGGAATATCTAGATACAACTTAAATGATTTGTTACAGGGTTGAGTTAGGACCTTCATTTTTTTTTTTAATACAGCAAAAACATAGAAAAGGGTAAAAAAAAAAGTGAGGGTACAATTAAGAAAAAGTACAATTAAAAGAGAGCATCATTGTCAAATATTCAATAACCAGATCCACTAGCTATAGATTTCCAAGACTAGACTTTATAAAATATGAATGTAGCATAAAGGAGATGAGATGTTAAGAATAAATGCTTTTCTTAAGAAGAGTTTGCCATGACATTTAAGAAATGCTGTGATTACTTTTTTATCCAAGAAAAGATTATTTTATTTCACTCAAGCTTTAAAAATTCAAATTAAACTGCTAGGCTTTTTAAATGGAGTTTATTGTCATCTTCTTCAGCTCCATAATCTAATATTTTCCCCTATACCCACTTTTGGCCAATCTAGCCCTTCATTTTCACAGTTGGATCAGGACACTGTGCACTAGAGAGGGTGTCTAGAATGTTTGGTCTTTGACCTCCACTTCCAGAGAGTTTTATGTAGAAAGCCCATGATTATTGTCTTTGCCTTCTGCAACATCTTTTTTCACCTTGAAGTTTAAAGGTTCACAGCCAATGTCTGGCTCTTATTATAGGTTTTAAGATGAAGTCTATACAGTGAAAAGAACTCTGTTTTAATTTTTTCAGAATTATTGGCTTTCAAGCCTTTGGATTCCCTGCAGATAATTACTGTTTTGGCCCATGATTTCTCTGATATTTAATGCCTCTGAGAAGAATAAATTACCTATCTAACAAGAAGGGTTAATTGGTAGTTGTGAGCCAATGGATGTGCCCTGTGTATTATTTTTTTAAGTGTCCTGAAAGCTCTGACTATCTGAAGCATCCTATTGGTTTTAAACATCTCCTACAACACAACTTGTAGTGTGGATTCTTGACTACTGGAGACTAAAAGAAATAGAGAAGAATTTTGGTAGCTTTTCTGTTTTTTTGACATTTGTACCACCTCAAGGTGACCATATTTCTTCCTAATATTCTGAATAATAATTCTATAAACCTAATATCTATGCCCAGATCTAGTTTCATAACACCAGAATTCAAACTTAGAGCTGAGGTTTCCATGAATTAACTCTATCAGCATTCAGCCTCCCTTAGCTGTTTCAGGAATTCATCTTAGAGAAACTGTGCTTAGTTTGTATTAGTATTTGTCTTATTAAATCCGTGAAACTAAAAATGCTTGAACAAAGTAAAACATTAACACCAACTTTCACAGTAAATTATTTTGTGTGAATGACAGCTTTTTAAGAGTATAATTCTTGGCATAATTACCCAAAAGCAGTTTAGTAAATGCCACAAAATGTAACATCTGCATATCAAAAATGCATTCTGTACGCTGCAGGAAAATTGTCATATGGAGGCAATTTTCTAATATTTACATATTTATAACAAGTGCCTGTCATGGGAAAGTTAAGCTCACCTGTAAAACTTTCATGTTATATAACATGAAGAATGTCTCATGCTTGGGTGTTCTAATAACCATGATATTATTTTAACAATTACACTATTTAATACCTTGGATTAGTTCCTCTGATAGTGCTATTAGCTGTCACTATACTCAATAATAGGTGACTTCATCTTTGTTATGACATGATCTTTCCTACTGTTTGTTGACCTTTCAATACAAGGGGGAGGGGACGCTCCCAGCCCCCCAAACCTCTAAGCAGCTACTGTAAAGCTGTGGTTTAATTCTCAGCTGGAATGTTTAGAAACCCTTGGTGCTAAATACCTCAGTGGACTGCTTAAACACCAACAACAGCCTTATGGGGCCTTACCCGACCTTAAACACATCTTTTTTTGTTGAGAATATTGCATTCTGCCACAATTCTGTGGGCTAACCCTGGGCTCACATTAAATATACCAGCCTCATTGAAGCTTACTGAATTGAGTTGAGTTGTTCTTTGTTTTATTCTCTCACTGCTTCACCCCCAACTGGGACTGGGCAGCCTTTCTTCCAGTGGAGCGTGCTTTAAAGTAACCCAAAGAAGAGGAGGGGGAAAGGGGGAGAAAAACCAAAAGGTGCAGCTAAGGCCCATAATTAGTCTTGATCCTCCAAGTCTAAAATATTTTAACGCCAGGTTTCTGATTGCAGTATGGGCAAAGTGGATTTGGGAATGCAGAAAAGTAATTAGGTCTGTGCATTGAAGTGTGGAGAGCATTTAAAAGTGAATGGGTGGTTACTACATTCTTGGCAGGCTGTTTTTTATCTTTTCATGCTCTGCTGTTGTTAGAGGTGATGGGTTTATTGCAGTTTTTGCACTCTGGAGGTGGCTATGTTTTTCTTAACCTAGCCTTTTGCTCTCCATCTCAAAAATGAATCCTCGTGGTATGAGGAAGAACGAGGGAAATTTTTAAAAAATAAAAACAAGGCACATTGACCAAATATTATGCGGTGAAGCAGAATAAGTTGGGAATAAACCTCAATGCCGCAACAGGTCACTTATAAAGATTCTGGGTTTAATTAATGACTCACTGAGCACAGGACTGACTGGAGACAATGGTCACCCCAAGGAGAAAGAAAACAAAACATGTTATTCTCTAACCATGTTCACAGAGCCATCCAAACTATCTGGGGGGAAAGCTGACATCATTATGTCACTTCTCGGTCCTGGTACAGGAGATACAAACTATAAATGTCTGAGTTGTCAAAAATGCACGCTTTTGATTACTTCAGTCTATAGAATTGCTGCAATTTGCTAAGATCACATGTCTCTTCAGCCCAGACAGTCATGTCTGCCAGTCAAGTTATCATCAGTCCTGGCTTGAAAGTCAGAGAAAATGTATGTGCAAAAAAAGGAAAAAAAAGAAAAAAAAATCTGGGGAGGAAAAAAAAAAAAACTGAGGTAAAAATGGGTAAAATTTAAATAGGCTTCTTCTAATGTTCACGAAAGTTTTTAAGCTTAAAATAAATGATACACAAATTTGTGTTTCTTTAGTAATACAGAACTATACAAGAAAAAATCGTATGAGGCAACTTGATCTTCCTAAAAGCATTTAGTGAGATCTACAGATTTTTTAAAGGTAGAATCAGATGTCACTAATGGAGAATCAAATGAAAGAAACAACAGGTGGGGTTTTTGGAGGTTTTGTGCTGGTAGTTATTGTTTGGGGGACTGGGGGAGTTTCCGTTTGTTTAGCTTGTGTTTTTATTTTAGAAATGTGCCTTGGGAAGGCCACTTCAAAGATGACGGAACTGGAACATTTATGACCTGACAACTACTTCAGTACACTTTAAATCTATGCACATAAGTTACCTACTTTTTAACACTTTTTAAGGGTTGTATAAAGTATCTTAATTAAATACTATTCTACCATTTTCTAGTCTGCTTTATGATAAATATATTTCGTTAGCCACATGTAGCTCTTAGCTTATTGAGTTTATCTGCATTTCTAGTCAATGCGAATGAGCACTTTACTTTTTGACATATTATCACCTTAGCCCTGGCTAGACTCAAAGCCATTTTTTCCTCTCAAGTTTTCCTGTTAAAAGATTAATACAGCAGTAATATTGCTGGTAACCTTATGTTTCAGGTCTTCCAGAAGAGATAGATAAAATATATAAACTGATGTTATTATAAGCAAGATTTACATCTTCATCATAGCTTATCTATAATCAAGAAAACTTGGAAACAACATAAATATCAAGCAATGAGGAATTTGTTAACTAAATGATGACACATTTATGCAATGGAGTGCTATGCAGCCATCAGAAATGATATTGGGGAAGACTAATAATTACAGAAGACATTCAAAAATATATTAAATTTAAGTTTACAAAGCAGGCTGTAAGGCAATATCCATAGTATAATCTTATGTGTATATAAAATAGGCAATGACTTATGTAATTTATTTAAATATATAATTATTGTTGAAAAGAAAAAAGTCAGCTCCCCCACCTTTTTGCTAACAGGGGGCCTGGTGCAAAGTGAGGCACATTTTTTAAAAAGAGGAAAATATGCCAAAATGTCAATGAAGGTTACCCCTGAGTTGTGAAATTTAGGGTGATTGTATGTTATTGTCTCTACCTATATTCCCTAAAGTTTATTTAATTAGCTTAGAATAGGACAAGATCATCTTATGATTTAAAAAACAATTAAAAACTGTCAATTAAAAAGAAATAGCTTGCCAAACTATGATATGTAATGCCCCCTGCATATTTTTAAAAACGACTTTATGATCTGTCCTCCTGGGTTCAAGAGGCAGAAAACAACAACAAAAAACAACTTCCTCTCCTTACCTAGACCCTATATTTATTGTTGTACCTGAACATAAGCTTCATTACCCACAGTATTTCTCAAAGATACCTCTCTGGTTGCCTAAAAGGTAGAAAAGGGTTCCAGCATTCCACAATTGAATTGTATTTTACATTTGGAAAGACCCAAGCAAGAAAACGTCCTCTCTGCTTTTCTGCCAGAAGGCATTGCCAGCTCATGGGCTTCACTTCACTTGGACTAGGTTCTACCCAGAATGCTCAATTCCAGGCCTGCCAAGGACAATGTGCCCGTGCTCCCTGACTTTCCCTGAACCTAGAAATCCAGGTCCACATCAGGACTCAGCTCCTTGTGTGGAGGCAACCTTCCTTCTTGGATGCCTGATGTATTCCTCATTATGCAAATGGAAAATAAGCACCAGCATATCCAGGTCAGACACATAATGTGTATAAATAATTGCTGGGGGAAATATGTGGCTCAGTGAACTCACCTAAAGCCAAAAGCTTAAGAAATTTGTGTCCAGCACAGACACCCACTTGCTGGGAGCCCATGGGCAAGTCACTTAAACTCTCTGTGTTTTATCTTAAAATAGAGACGATAAGAATGTTGGCCTAGACCCCAGGGAATAGCAAAAGATTGTGAAGCACTTCAAAAATTCTGTATCAAAGTAATAGGTGCTATTTAGGGAAAAGGTCATGAAATCATCAAAAGTCTCCTGAAACCTCAAAAAAAGAAAACCCACTGTGATTTCACAAACTGTGATCTAAAAGGCATAACTAAATTCACAGAAGCCCAAATTTACAGACATACCTAAAGCACTTGCCACAGTTCATTTCAGACGACTTTTTCAGCAGAAGACTCATTATTCTTCTTAAGCAAAACATACCTATCAGATGTTTGTGAGAATTCTCTGGTTTCACGTGGTTTAGACAAAAATTCTGTCTGAAGATGAGCTGCTGAGAAAGTTCTTGAAAGCATCGCTTACTGCAAACCAAATTGTATTCAGCAGGTAGAAATTAGCACATGGGCTAGATACAGCCTTAAGATCACAAAAACACACATGGAAGCCACAAGACTGCTGCTCTATAATTATGTGGCTTTTCTGCAATAGTCACTGTAAGCTTCTGTGGCTTCCATTAGGAGTATAATGAAGAGTAATTGACAGCAGGGATGTTTCTGGTCTCAATCCCATCCCCTTCTACCCCCGCCCCCCAGTCCCTGAGCATTCCTTCCTTCTGGGCACAACATCCTCTTACAACCTTTGATCTGAGAAAAGACAATGCCCCAGTTGCAGTTTGTTGTGGTATTTTCTAGACAGTTTACCATGTTTTTTTATGTCATCAAAGAAATAGGGCTGGTAATTGACTGGCTATCTCCCATGGTCTAGGTGACAGCCTTCAGCCACCATCTTGTGATCCAGTCTGTGCCCACATACAGGAGATAAGCAGAGAAAATGCCGAAGATGCCAAAGCAGGAAATGGAGCTGTCTTATGCTTCCTGAAATGTCTAACCTTAAAACAATTCAAAGCAAAACAAAAACAATGTCCCCTTTCTACATATCTGATACTCTGTTGTATCATTTAACACTCATGCATATCTGGTATAACGTTTTAAAAACTCGGCTTTGGAATCAGACAAAACCCATCTTAACTTCTTACCTAAGAGGCCTACAAGTAATGTAACATTTCCTTACCTAGTGGCTAATAATGCCACTACCTAGTGTTGTACAGGGTTTGAAATAATACATATAAGTGCTTAGCAGACTGCCCAGCGTATAATAATTGTTTGACTAATGGTAACTATTCTTCTAATTATTCTTATATTAGCTGTTATTTTCCTTATTTGGTAACAGAGAATACGGACACTTAGGAAGATTAAGTGGTTGGAAAGCCAGGATTAAAATCCAGAAACTTATGTTGTTTATACTCCCCTTTACATGCTTCATCTTTGGGAAATAGATCAGAAGAACCAGCTCAAAATTCTACTTAGATAGTCTAACCATGCACATGAAACGATCTTAAAACTTGAGTCCAGGCATATATAAATATATTATTTTATCCTAAGCAGCATCATCATGGTATCTCTTGCGGTGACTATTATGCTTGTTTCAAACCCACAGTAATCATGCTTGCCAGGGTACTCACAAATGAATTTCTCAGCACCAAGGGCAGAAGAGAGAGCAAAAGTGATCATTTGTTTTTCCTTTTTTTTCTTTCTTTCTTTGAGTGGAAAATCCATGACCTCTGTGACCCTCAATCCAAAACCATAGCCCAAGGCTCGGTATAGATAGGGGTTGAGGGGAATGGGGAGGGCTGATAATGTTAGAGAAAGACAAACTCCCAGCAGAAACAAAGGCCAGCAAACAGAGTGAAAGAAGCTTAGTAAGGGAGAAAGAAGGGGGGCCTGGAAGCAGAGAACAAGGCACAGAAAAAGGACTTGGAGAAAGATTGAATAAATTGTTTGCTTGTGCTGTTTAGCAAAATCAGCTAAACTTGGCTTTCAAAAAGTTTCACACAAAATCATTTTCACTGATTATTTTTTGGCACAAGAAATTTTGTAAAATTTGGAAATTCACAAAGTGACACAATTTGCTAAAAATGCCATTCAACACAATTTGATGTAAACTACAGAAATGTTATTATAATTCATTAGGAAAACTTTAAAATGTGATAGTGTCCTGAAAACTTGGATCGGTGCCACAAGAATCACTGGCAGCTAAAACCTAGCATAAGAACTGAAATGCTCAGTGTATCTATTCACAGGCAAATGTCATGTGTCTTTTATGTGGTTAGCTTCACTTTAATACCCTGGTGATATTTTGAAGCCATTTTTAGTCTTTTCTTTTGTTTTTTTCCCATGAGTCAAATCCTACAGCCATTATACATGGAGGCAATTCTGTATAAAATCCACATGATCCGTTTCCCAACAAGGAGGCCATACTAACTGCCTCAACTGAGTCCTGAAGGTCTGAACCTAGATTCTACTGCCTCATGGTTAAAACTGGCCTATTCCTTGGTCTCTGTGTTCTTAATAAAGATAAAAGGGGCTAGTTTCCTAGCAGAGTCCAGTGCTCCTAATATAATTCTGGGAGGTCTATGTTATGAAATGGAAAAAAAAAATCCTGAACGAACATTGGACAAACTAAAGGGTTACTGTCTCTTTGAGGGAAAGTGTTTTGTCTTGACCATCTAAGCAAAGACAATAGCAAATAATAGTTGCTCAATAATTTACAGGAAAGAAGGAGGAAAGGAGAAAATGAGGGAGGGAGGAAGAATGAAAATGAGAAATAAAGATTCAGTTCAAGTTCTAATACACAGCAGAGTGAACTTGGGCAAATTGCTAACTTTCCTAAACCTATTTCCTTGAGAATAATAACACCTACCACCAGTATTGTTTATGTCAGGGCTTTATGGTTGATCAGACATTTACACATACACCATCTTATTTCACCGTCATATCATTCATTGTTTTTATTTGTATTTCTAGCATCATTGTATATGCCCTACATGATAATGAAAAAGAGTTTACATTTCCACAGGATAAATTGCCCGTGCTTTATAACTGCATGCTCTCAGTCTTTCCACTCTTAACCTCCAGGTCTCCTGCCAAGTGGGTTTCCTGAAATCTTATTTTCTAGAATCCCTTCTTCCTGACCTAGGGAAAACGTATCAACTTAATGTACCCATTCTTCAGTCACCTGCTTTATGCTTGATAATCTGATAAATTCATTCCAAAGTGACTGAAATTGAGTACTAATCCTTGGCATTCATTCCCACCCCCTGAATTAAAGGCACTGGAAAGAATAAAACTACATTTCCCAGGCTCCCTTGCAGCTGTTCTGTGAGTATTCTGGATACAGCCAAAGAGATGCACTTGTGGCAAACCTGAAACACAAAAGAAGCTATCTTCAGGTGGCAGGTGCACTTGACAAACAGGCTCTGAGGGTCACCTGTGCTGGCAGCTCTAGACTCCACATCCTCCTCACTGCTCACCAGTGTCCTCAGGGAGAAGCTGCCAGGAGGTGGAAACCATGGTGGTAGTGGTCAGTACTTTTCTAAGCACTCAATTGCTACAGCAAAAGAACAACAAGAACGCAGAAGTCAGATGTCAGCAACCTGACTTCCATTCCTCCAATCTCTCCCCATGGTTTCATAAACTCATAATCCCCTGTATTAAACTCTTTCTGTTTGAAGGTCCCAGAGCAAGTTCTCTTTTCTGCACTGAACTTTGACTGTTAGAATGGCTTAGTGATTATTACAGGCTACAGTTACTCATCCCATCCCTTCTCCTCCCTTTTCACTGCCTTCATAATTATACTGTCGTCCCTCATTATCCTCCAAGGATTGGTCCAGAACCCCAAGGATATCAAGATCTGCAGATGCTCAAGTCCCTTACATAAAATGGCATAGGATTTTCATACATCCTGTGAACATCCTCCCATATACTTTGATCATTTCTAGTTGCTTATAATACCTAATACAATGTCGATGTTATGTAAATAGTTGTTACAATGTACTGTTTAGGCAATGATGACAAGACAAAAAACAGCTGTACATGTTCAGTACAGATGCAACCAATCTTTTGTTTTTTTCCAAATGTTTTTGATCCTCATTTGCTCTAATCTACAAATTTAAAATGCAAAGATATGGGGAGTTGACTTTATACACGTTTTGTCTGCTTCGTTTTAATTATTTACTCACATGTTGATTTTTATTTTCTACCCTATTGTATTTCTTTGCACATCTAACTTCTCCATCCTTGTCACCAAACTAGAAACTTTTGGAGTAAATGTAGTGTCTCAGTCATTTCCTCATTCCTAGTGCCAGTGTCAATGCATAGTGCTTAGAAGGCAACTCAATAAACACCTGAACCTCTTTTGGATAATATGTTTGCCTTCCTCCTTTGCCTACAGGAATAGTTGACCCTGCATGTGGATGCATGCATTGTTTGCATGATGTTATTTATACTACGAGAAAAAAAGAAGGCCTGTTTCAAAAAAATGTATCACACATGCATACACTATCTATCTGTGTGTACCTATCTTTCTATCCTCATCCGTAGCTGTGTCTGCAGGCAAAATGACATGGAACATTAATGCAATTGTCCATATTGGTCTTTAAAACAACTCTTTTAAGTTAAGAGACAGCAACAAACTATGAAAAAGTATTTGCAATTTACAATACAGTCAAAGAACTAAACTCTCTAATATACAAAGAGAAAATAGAATTCAAAGAGAGAAAAAAACCCAAACCCTATTAGAAAGTGAGTAATAATTCACAGAAAAGGAAACACAAATGACTCATAAATATATGAAAAGATGTTCAAATCACTCCCACATAGAAAAAAATGCAAATTAAAATTACATCAAGATACCATATTTCACTATCAGATTGGTAAAAATCCAAAAATTTGACAACCCTTAGGGTTGGCAAGATAGAGAGAAACGGGAACAGTGATTCATTGCTGGTGGGAGTGTAAATAGGTATAATCATTCTGGAAGGCAATTTGGCAATATTTATTGAAATTACAAATGCATATACTCTTTGACTCAGCAGTTCCAATTCTAGGAGTTTCTTCTACAGATATATTCACACATGGGCAAAATCATGAATGTGCAAGGTTACTTACTGCTGCAGTTCTTATAATAGCAAAAGATGGGAACAATCTAAAAGTTCATCAAAACTATTAAAATAAATTACGGCACACCCAAATAATGGGATACTATTCAACCACAATAAAAAAAAAGAAACTCAAAGAACGAGGAAGCCCTATGCTACTGACAGGTAAAAATGCATAAGATACATTTTTAAGTTGGGGGCAGGATGTATGGTATGCTACATTTGTTTTAAAAGTGGGAAAAAGAATGTGTGTAGCATTTGCTTACATAAACATTTTTTCAATCTCTGGAAATCTGTACAAGAAACGAATAACATGGAAATACAATAGTAGTTGTATTTCCATGTTATTAGAACAAAAGAAGATATTTAAGTCTATTTATCCTAATTGCTTAATTTCTCTGAAGGCACAACTTTTTACCCTCACTAGGAGTTTTTGGGCTAGGGAGAGAGTCTCCAAAGTTTTACAAGTAAAGTGACTGTTCACTGAGTACTATTTTTTACACTTATCCAAAACACGTTGACAGTAGGTCAAAGTAGGGGGGAATACTGAGAAGTTCCTTCCTACTTAGAAACATTCCCATATTAATTTATATTTATTTCATTTAATAATCTGCTTTTTCAAAATGCAATTACATGGTATATTTCATACAATTTCTAGGAATTTGGCACTCACTATTTAATTTAAAGATCTCTTCAAAATAATGTATATCTGCTGAAGAATGGGTGTTTTCTACTAGAGGATAGAGAAGAGAGGAAGAAAGCACCTCAGCCTGTAGGAGATGAAGGACAACAGGAAAGTAGCAGTGAGCAGGCAGCCCAGCAGCCAGAGCAGGTGTGGAGAGGGGAGGGTGGACTTGGAGAGAGGAAGGAGTGAAGAAAGGAAGGTGAGAGAGGATAACTAACCAAAGGCCTGCTGCATGTTTTGCCTGGAACCTTGCTGGTGGCAGCCACCTTGGTTCCACACTCTGCTCCTGCTGTCTTGAATACATAGATACTGGTTTGCAAATGTCCATGATTGCTAAGGAATCTTTGCTTTGTTGATCCAACAGGGAATTAGCTCTTATTAAGCCTCATGAGTTTCTAATAAATACATACTGTATTTCTTAGTAAGACCTAGTGATTAAGAATTGCTTTATGGTTTTTTAAATCTCCACAGTACAACAGATAGCTATTTACATTTAAAGAGTAGAGATTTAGGTGAGATTTTACATTGTGAAAAAAATGTATTTTCCATTAGGTTTGTTGTCACATAGAATGCATGTGTACATAAATATCATTTCTGAACCAGCTGGTTGACTTGAAAGCCCAGTTTCAAACTGTTCAAAACTCTTATTAATATTAATTGCCTATATTAATGATAGTAAATAAAATAAATTAATGGTACTACTATCATCCTATAAATATTGTGCCTGTCCATAGTATTATGAAAAAGCCATTTTGCCTACATTATCCCAGCCAATAGTCATGAGAAATTAAACCATTATAGTCATGGGTTGTATAGCCATGCTTTGGTAGACAGACCGCATATATGGCGACAGTCCCATAAGATTCAAATACTGTATATCTACTGTATTTTTTCTACATGTGGGTGTGTTTAGAGATACAAATACTTACCAGTATATTATAATTGCTTGCAGTATTCAGAAAAGTCACATGCTGTATACAGGTGTGTAGCCTGGGATCAGTAGGCTGCACTAGATACAGCCTAGGTGTATAGTAGGCTATACCATCCGGGTTTGTCTAAATGCACTCTGATGTTTGCACAATGATGAAATCACATAAAAATGCATTTCTCAAAATGTAACCCTGTTGTTAAGTGATGTGACTGTATTTAAGTGCTTTAAGAATAAACTGTCAGCTGTGGAGAATACCACAGGTTCCTTTATATTACTCCAGCAAGTGGGTATTTAGCCCTAGTAGTAAAGAATATATATATATAATGCTGGCAAAATTGAAGTTTCACTTGTGGTGGTCACCAAAATTCTTCATGTCTGCTTCAGTACAGATGTTTTCGTAACTTCAAAGTGTCTAATACTATGGAAACTCTACCGTGCATATGCTATGCATATAAAAATACTTTTCCTACATGGTAAGGTGATATGATGTGGTCATGTTGGAAAACTATTTACATTCATTCCTGCCAGGCTCCCATAGTATTGTTGTTAAAGAAATATATATGGTACCCAATACAGAGGCTGGCTGGTTGGCTTTCTGGCTGAGAAACAGGTGTGATATATGTGTATATATATATATATATATATATGGCATGCCAAATATATAAATACATATATATGGCAAGTGTATATATATATCTATATATGCATACCATATATGCGTGTGTGTGTGTGTGTGTGTGTGTGTGTGTGTGTGGCTGTAGAAATGGGGAAAAAAATAGATACACACACACACACACACACACACACATATATATATATCACTGTGATTACTATTTTCACTCTATATGTAGTTCTTTTCCCCCCATTCTACAGCCATATATATATCGCATATATAGGAAGGAAAAGGAATGAAAAACAGGAAATGGGTAGCCCACAAAGGGAGAGAAAAAAAGGATTTGCAATGAAGAGGTATCCACCATTTTGGCATTTGGGAGTGAGTAGTCTTCAACAGGTACAGAAACAACTGTGGAGCCACCAATGTGTTCTTCATAAAAGCAAGTCATGAACAGGCAACACTGCCTGCCACTGAGGTCAGTTGTTCCCACATGAGCCAGGATTGTCATTCAGGGACATTGACACTGATCCTTTCAGCAGGCCCACCAATGTTTTCTTTCATGCTTGTCAGTGTTCAGCCAAGATGCCGTGTCCTCACCATACCCTAGATAGGATGGTCACGATGAATGGCTGCTTCCACCGCTGATTCTAAATAGATGTGTATAAAAGTATTCCCAATTTAGGTCCTGAAAGCAATAACTTCTGGTATTAGACTGTTCTTGCACTGCTATAAAGACATACCTGACATTGGGTGATTTATAAAGAAAATAGGATTCATTGGCTTATGGTTCTGTGGGCTGTCCAGAGTTCTGCTTCTGGGGAGGCCTCAGAAAACTTATATCATGACAGAAGGCGATGGGGAAGCCATCACATCTTTACATGGCTGTCAGGAGAGGAAGCGTGTGCAAAGGGTGAGGTGTTACACATTTTCAAACAACCAGATCTCGTGAGAACTCTATCAGGAGATAGCACTAGGGGAGATGGTGCTAAACCATTAGAAACCAGCCCCATGATCCCATCACTTCCCACCAGGCCCCATCTCCAAGACTGGGAATTACAATTAAACATGAGATTTGAGTGGGAACATAGAGTCAAACCATGTCATTTCCTTTAGTAAAAAATATCTCAAAAAGCCTGCTGAAAGAAAAGCTTCTAACATATATGACAAAAATTTAAACATACGTTAAAAGCATATCAATGAGGAATTTTAGTAATCTCAA